CCCCTGGCCGATGCGATCTGCTGTGTTCGAATCGTCAATCTTCGCCGCTATCGCTCATGTCGAAGTCTTCCTCGTCGTCTTCGCCAATTCCTGCCGTCCTCCTGCTGCTGCTATTCGTGCCACCGCCCCTCGATCCCTTTGGGGAGTTTGCCTGCGCCAAAGTAGTAACACCCACGCACGACACACGGTTGGTTACGAAGAGCGTTCAAACGCCAAAGATCTTTGCCTCGAACTCCATGCTTGACAAGGCAAGCGGTTGGCAGCATTGAGCCGACCACGTATATCCGTAGTCATTGTAGGATGTGCGTGTACCTCGGGAAATCGCTGCAAGCATTGTTTGAGTCTCTCTCGTGAACTGGAAGAATTTTCTGGGCGTTCTGTTACTTCGGAAGTCGTCTCCTGCGAATAGTACAGATTCCGGAGAAGGGTGTTGGTCAGAAGACAGAAGTACGCCTGAAACTGGAGCCACCACCACCACCACCACACCACCACCACCACCACACCACCACCACCGCCCACCGCCGCCGCCACCCTTGCCACTTTCCCGACCAACCACGACAAAACAGAAAATAGGCTCCAATAATCGCTTTTTAAGGAGGAGTTTACCTTGCTCCTGCGTATTTTCGTGGACAGGAGGGTGTGGCTCACGACACCGATTTGCAGGTCGAACGTCTTGATCTCCGCCTTCGCCATGAGAGGATGGCGAGTCAGGGGGGGGGCAGGGGGGAGGTGACCCTTCAGTGAGACACGTCGGACTCGAAGTTGCTCTCCGGGGTGTTTCAGTACCGTCGACAACAACGTAAGAGCATGGGTATCATTTCTCCTCTCTCTACCCCTCTCCTCTACGGTCTACATATTGCCGACCTCGTACTGCTGCATTTCTCGGTCCAGCTTTTCAATCAGGATGACCAAAACTTTGTTTCGCGCGTACCTTGCGCGGAGATTAACCCCCCCTGGCGCCTTGTACGGAAGGGCACTGGCGCAGGACTGTAGGTTGTGTGTGGGCTGCTGTGCTCGTGAAAGCAACAACCTCGTCGTGGTTCAAATGAAGCTACAGCCGGGGAATTTTCAACTCCATACATACTATGTTTCCCGAGGTTTCGATGCTTTCGAAGATCAACGGTTTCGTCTGCCTCAGGAGGAGGGGTAGAAGAGCTTGAAGGGCTCCTCTTCTTTGTCACCAGCGGCAGCTAGCTCTGCTGGATCATTAGGGTTGATCTAACAACCATGTGCTGTGCGTGAAAGGTGCGTGCCCCGTCCCGTTGGCCTCCTCACCTTGATCTGCTGCAGCGCCTGCTTTATGCTCACCAAAGGGCTCGCCTCGCTCATCTGAACAAGCAGCAACCAGGCCATAACGCACCACGACGTATCGCACAGCACAACAAGCCACGGCAAGGCGAGCGGACGCACCGTTGAGGTTAGCTGACGAGAGTCGTGGACACGCCGTGCTCGAGGGAGACAAGGATCGAAATTTGGTTCTGCCCCGGGTGTTCCTCAGTACGTACCCGAAAGTGATCGTTTCATTAGCGTGGAAGAAAAGGCGATAGTTTCGGTGCACCCGTCCTCGCATAGAAGACACACACGCCCCTTCATGCATGGCAGGGCATCTTATTGCAAGTGGGATGACAAACGCAAGCAAGGCCAAAGGTCTCACTCGGGTCGCTGACGTGTTAGCATACGGGAAACCTGGCTAATAATCCGTGCCCGAAACGTGGGGCAACACCTTCGACGATGTTCTGTTGGGACAGATCACCACACAAGGTGAAACTGTAACCCACCACCATGTGTATGTCTTCAATGAAGTTAGGTCACTGATCTGAAGATTAGTATTCATCCGGAGGTTGTGCAACGCTACCAACCACAACAGGGGGGTTGTAGGTCGAAATATCCAGACTGGAGGTGAAACCTTGCAAATTTCTGCGTTGCTTGACACCCGCCCTCTGATATCAGAGCCCATACACCTGCGATCACCACAACGAGCACAGAACCACAGCGTAGTTGCTATCTAGCAATAGTATCACCAGCGTGTACCGCAGAGAAACCGGAGTGTGCAAGCGCAAGAGATGCTCAGTCGGCCGTACCGCGTCCCCCTTGGAGTCCATCTTCTCCTTGAGCTCCTGGAGCTCGTCGCTTAAGGCCGCAAGGGACTCCGTAAGTTCTCCCACCGACCCGCTCGTGGTTTGGTGCTTCAGCTCCACGGCCTTGAGCTCGTCATGGAGCTATCACAAGTGGCAAACAGCAGCGTTGTCGGTGCAGTTTTTTCGAGCAGTTGCGGCTTTGTTGATGTATTTAGGAATGGGTGTGTGCGGCATCTTGATGAAAATGGTAGCTTCCAGAGTAAACATTCCGACAAACTACGGTGACATTGCAGTGGTAAAGTAGTGCCCATACACAACACAGAACACCACGTACACGAAAGACAAAAGAGAGATAGCCGAGTTCGTGAACATCAATGAAAGATCAACATCGTTTGTGACAGCACCGAAGACACCAAGAACTCAACGCTAAACACAGTTATCGCCATCCACACAATGTCGACGAAGAGACAGCAACAACCGTTCCTACCATAACTACTATTTCGTCGTACACCCCAACAGCGACAACCATATCAACCTGAACGTACTCCTCCCTGAGCCCGTCATGCTGGCTGTTGATGAAGCGCTCCTTTACCCGCATCTTTTCCACGCTCTCGGTCACCTTGGTTGCGTTTCATATCGGCAGGTCGATACCAGCAGAAAATCGAACCCGATTTAGGTAACACCACAGGTTTTCGACGCACGACAGACATGGCGTGCTGTGAAGAGGTTTTATCGGGGGAGCTTCAAGGTATTCTTATGTGAGGGGGTCGACGAACGACCGTAAACCGTTCTCCCGCAAATTTATGGAACACAACACGACTTTCCAACCTCCCAGGTGAGAACAGCCACTGCTTCCGACTGTGTACATGTAGCACGCAGGCAGGTTTACAAGGAGTCCCACAGTTCACAGGTTCGTCCGAGTACGATAAATGTAAACAGCGACATGAAAACAGCGACAAGGAAGATGGTCTAAAGGCCGAAGGTGCGTTCACCTCAGCTCGTGCTGCTGTGTATGGTGGTAGCGGGTAGATAGGTGGTCCCCTTTGTTACCACGGAGTTATTCAACGACTCTCCGTCCTTGTTACTAGTTGCTCGTTGCCTGTTCATCACGGGGCCAACGAGTCTTACGGTATCTTCGATATTAATGGTGTGGACTTCAAATTACAACCCCAAGCACCACTGGCAAACACTACTTCCAAGCATATTTGTTTCAAGATGAGCCCAGATATATATACGAGTATCCAACGTAGCATTCGTTCAGTAAGTAGCTGCATGTTGGAGATACTGCCAGCATGCAAGACATTGCGTGTCTTGTAACCTTACCTCGGTCCCTATCAGAGCGAGCTGTGTCGTGGTCACGGGCAAGGCGGCCTGGATCGCCTCCTCGTGCTTCTTGGTCTGCTCGACGTGCCCTCGCCATTCCTTCCCCGCAGCAGAGGCCGCCATCTGCATGCACGCAAGCACAAGCGCCGTGGCGCCCAACGCGATACAGCATCGCCTGTTGAGCTTCCGTCCCTCAAACATTTCCTACGAACATCCAATGAGAAGTACTATCGTACGGCAGATTCAGCCATGCTGTTACGCTGGTGCCTTTTTCCGACTACGGACCAGGGGGGGGGAGGGCGTCTTCATGTGCCGTAACGCCCGAAACTGCGCAGCATCGCGTACTGAGCTACCCCCAAAGTCATCCACGGACCGCTCAGAGGCCATGCGCCGGTACTGACTTCGACATAAAGTATAATTTCGGTTTTAACTCATGTTTGGTCTGCACGTTGGTCATCTCTTCCGGAGGTAGGGGGCCTTATCTTGTTCCGTCTGAATCCCATGGTAACATGGATGTAGCTTCAACCTCTTAGCGGCCGCCTGAATTCTACTGATTATCTTCCAAACCCCGACACAATTTTGAGCCTTGACAAAGAGTGTTACATCCTTCAAGAATGTTTCACCTCCATCTGTAAGGATATCAAATGCAATTCTTTAGGATTGTCCCCGCAACCGAGGTCGTTGTGTGCAAGGGTTATGAGGAGAAGAACTAAGCGCGTCGCAGGCCAGTCGTTTCTGTTCCCCCCACGTTCGCCCTCGCTCCTCGGGCGGATTGCTTGCTCACAGCGTCCTCCTACACGAATAATGAATGATGTATTGAATGGATTTAGTTGGCTTTCTCGACCACCCCCGCTTTCATAGATTCCTCAAGTGGCCTCGTAGTCTTCGTCATTGGAGGTCGACTTGCTTAGCCCCCGCACATTTTCAACGTGCCGTTTTCCCGCCGGTGGCGACGTCCACAACCGTCCCGGTGTACTCATTCTTCCATTTCTCGTCGTTTGGCCCCGAGTACGCCTATTTGATTGCCGGTGAAGTATGTTCGGAGCAGCGAGGATTTCATGGCACCGGCCCTCGCCTGCTATGCCCCCCGATCCCATATCTCGGCTTCACCTTGCCTGTCCAATCTCTTCCCTGTGCTGGTGAGGGTGTTGGCGCACCTGCGGTGTCGTCCCTCGCTCTTTTCGTGCGGGTTTTCACACACGTGTGTCCGGGTGGCTGAAAAAATATTTGCCCCGACTCACACGCTCCGGGTCTCCTTCCATGGCTCGAGGCAATCGTTTCTCCCTGGGCCCAACGCACTCTTTACCCTGCGTGTGTGCTGTACTAGGTAGTCCTTTGCCCTCCACTCTACCTGCTGCTACTGCTGTGGGCGGCCTGCACTCTTATTCGCATACCTTGAGCTTAGGACCCACGCGCTCCAACTCTCGCTTCCACTCCACGGGGTCGACTTTGGCTTCGAGCATGGCTGCCTGAATGTCGCTGACCCTCATGTCGTCGTCCTCTTCGGCCTGAGACAAGAGAGGAAGAAACAAACCAAATGCTTGCACGACTTAGAATCCTTCCGACGGGACACAACCAGTGGACGGCGATCATAAGCACCGTACCTAAAACCGAATTGGTGAGAGTGATTGGGAAAACAGCGACAAACACAACCAGAGGGGGAAACGGCCAACCCTTTCAGCTTGCTTGTCTGCTACATGGAATACAACAAAGTACTCTGTAGACCCAATCTGAAAACATGGCAGCGGTTAGCGCGGCACGCGGATGTGGTAACCGCGGGGCAAAAGCATCCGCGCGGGTGAGATCAAGGAAGTTCAAAATCAACCGAACCATATCTGTAAATACGATGATAGCGGTGCAGCAGACCGTGCGTGCGAGACGAAACTACTTTCACCTTGATTAGGTCGGAAAAGTCCTGCTCGTCCTCTTGCTCCTCCTCCACCTCTGCCTCGTCGGCGATGTCGGCCATGTCGCAGTCATCCACCGGCTCCGCCTCCTCTACGGCGTCCTCGGCCGCGTACACTGGCCTCCGCCAAACGAAACCCGTCGCCGACAGCGCCTTGTCCGTCAGGAAGTTCAGCACGGAACACGCCGCCTCGCCGTACGCCTGAGGACCAGCAGATTTATTGTGTCGGGGGGAGACAGAGGGTCGGGAGGACGGGGCGATCCAGGGGAACGATCGAGGTGCTTCCTTCTCCCACAACTTTCGGAATGGCGTATATGGCCCTTTCTAGACACAGAAAACAAATTGTTAGGGTCCTGTTGGTAGGAGCCGTTGCTGTTGTTGAAATTATCATTGACTGATAGCCGGAAGGCAACACCGTCGTAGTTCCAACAAAGTGAAGCAATGTTGACTTGCCACACGCGCCTCTCGAAATGTCGCAACGTTCTAGGTCCTTGCAGACCCATGTACTTTCGGCAGGCGTGCGTTTCTTTTCTCTCCATTGACTTCCCCCCTCGTAGGTCAACCGCCGCGCTGCCGCCCTCTTGAATTAATATGGTAGACGCGTGGAAGGCATTCACCTATGCTGCTTGCCAAGGACAAACTCAAGCCACGTCTTAACATCACACATTGTAGACGGGTTTCCTTCTTCCCGATTGTTACTATTTAAAATAAGCTTACACACACCTGCTTGAGGCGGTTGGCGGGAAAGTTGAGGTCGAACCCCATGCCCGTCAGCGCCAGCATGAGCTTGTTGACCGCCGTGTTGGGGTCGTCGTACTTGTCTACCTGGTACCGGACACACGCGGTGTAGACCAACCCCGGTTAGAAGAAAAGCCACCGGCGTGAGAGGTTCCAACTCCGCACACATTAGTCTGGTGAGAGCGGCACTAAACGTGGGCGAAGCACTACATAGAACGCAAAGTTTCCGTGTGGGTGCAGCAGAGGCTTGTTACCGACTTCGTAGCTTGCTGATCATGAAGTTTGTTGTTCTGCACCCATCGCAGAGCCATCCACGTGCTCCTGACCCGACAATCTCCCGACGATCTCGTCCTTGCCCGTTCTCGAGAACGTTTCCGATAACGGCTCCCGATCCAACCCCACGTTTTCTGCCGTCCACTTCGTTCCCACACAAGCCGTTTTGTCGTAAAGGTATGGTTGTACCCGATACCCCGATACCTCCCTTGCGATGCTATCCTAAAATAAAGCCCGAAGTAACAAAAAACTCGCCTTAAAAAAATCATTCCTGCCGTTTCCAGCCCCCAGGTTGATGAGCCAGGACGAAATCTCCTGGAACGACCGCCACTATTGAAGACATGCACCATCAGTATGACGCCAGGGAGCCAGCCATCGCGGTGCGAATGCAATACGCCGCCGAACGATAAAGCGAGGAAACGGGCGACGTGTTGTGGGGTGGTCGTGTTGATAGGCAGAGACGTTCCCAAACAATGCACATGCACAGGGGGCTCAGTGTTTTTCACCGTCGCCGCCTCTCCAGGGTGTGCGCGTGCCAGTTGTGCGGGAAATACATCCCCGTCTCCTTCGTCATACGGTTAACAACACCTTAAACTCGACAGAAACACCTATCAACGTGCGAACTTGCACCATTCGTGTACTCTATCAAGAGGTCAACCACTAAAGAGCTACCAGCGTTTTAGCCGACCGACAAGTGGTGGTCATTGTGGTCACCTGGAGGCTCGCGTTTGATCCTGGAATGGAAAAATACGACCTTCAGCGGCCGTGTGGTGTGATGTTTTGGTTGGTTCCGGCAGCCACCATTCGATCAGCAGCAAGGTGTGTTCATTTACACGGTCCGAGGTCAGGTTGCGGGTGGTGATTGTCGCGGAAGGGGATTGGGAACGATATCAAATGCTTGAGAAGCCCCCCGTGTATGGATGTCCAACGGGTGCAGCGTTCCAAAGTATGCACGATCAACGCGATCTTCTTCCCGATGTTGTCCCTTGAAAAATTCGAACGTTACCGCAACAAGGAGAAATGCTGGAGGAGTACCCGTACAAGTTCGTTGAATCAAGAAGGGGGTGGCGTCCTGAACGTTCCAATTGTAACAAAATACCGGATGGCATCTCTATCGCTGCATCAATACAACTTTCAACGTTGGAGTCTCTCAATAATGCGTGCACGTTTACGCACCCTACACATTACCACGGGAATTTGGTTGCGAAAAAGGACGTCCAGTATTTGCAAATTCTTATACTTCAACTCTCCTGTTTGTCGCCTGGCGCAGTATCCTCAAGTGTACCTGTTGAAAGGTTGCAAGTTATTGGGCTTGCAGAAGCTCGCCTCGTAGTCCAGAGCCTTGAGCTTCTCTAATGCATCTTCCCAAGCTGCAAACGCCGTGCTCTGCGCTCAGCAAGCCGAACGTTGAAACATACGAAAGAGAATTGCGATGGGTCGGAGCCAACAGCTGCCGAGCCTAGCCAGCTGACAAAGAGCGGCAGGAGCATCACTACTTCCATCTGTAGCAGTCGTTATCAACGTACCAGTTTGCACCTGCACATGTACTGCTGTACATCAGTAGCACAGCGGACAATCGATCATCGTCTCCCACACCGGTATTATTACTCGCGCCCTCTAAAACTACCAGCAATCTTGCGCCGTGGTTATAATTGTGCGAAGGCTAATGAACTCATTTTCGAACGCACGAGTTGGAAGACGCATTTTCGCTTACCGAATAAGGGCTGTCATCTCCCTGCGTTCGTCTGACCCTGCCCGCATCACCGCCTTCCGCCATGGTCTTAGCTTGTCGATGCTTTTATGATGTCGCGCGACGCGAAGAAATCTTGTGCCACTGAGTACGGCCGTGGGTACTGCTAGGGTAGACGCGAGGGCCAGCCAAAAGCTGGTGTGCTGACAGGGAGATATATTCTGCAACAGGACACAACGCACAGCAGCGACTGTGTGAGTGGATGTCCTACACTTGATCGGGCCGATCATGATCCGGTTGCCCGGGCGGGAGCACTTATGTTTTGCCGCCTTTTCTGAGTGTCAGGGGATACAAAGACGTGCCGGGAGTATGCTGCTTCGTCTATGCTAGGTACCATGTTGGGCGCGATGTCGAAGCTACGGTTACGTGCACAACAAGCCGAACCTGTCAATTCATGGAGAGTAGGGATGTGACGGACCTCAGGACGATTCGTAGATTTGCGGTGCTGGGCACACAAATACCACCAATTCAGACCAATTGATCCACCCGTACCTTTTCTATGCTTGCCCACGCGCACCACACAATGCGCGGCATCAAGCGATCTCGTGTACAAACAATCCAACGCGTTGCGCGTCGCATAGGCAATAGTGGTTGGAGCCAATACTGGACAAAAAAGCATCCAATGCTGTAGTCTATCGTTCATCGGAGATTCGACGGTTTCAGAAATGCGGCGCAATAGAAATATCTACAGTTTAGCGAAGGTCTGCACCTGGCACAGATTTTTCGGAGATCCGTCTTTACCCGTCCGTGCAATCCACAGGTATCGTGTGACGCCATTGACAGGACTTACGCTCTAGCCGTCACACCAAGACTTGCGACCCAGCAAAACACGTATCACGCAACGTGAACACATCGAAATACCGTTCGTCCTCGAGGAAGATCTCCCAGCGACCCACGGGGAGTTGTCCATACGGCGAAAGGCAAGCAGAGGAACAGTTAAGTGATGCTGATTTCGCAACAAGAAAATCAATACAGAAAAAGAGTCTGCACTATGTACTGTCCACATATTGTAACTTTTTCAAGATTTTAGAGGCTAGCAGTCTACCGACGTGATATATTGACGAAACACCAGTCAGTACTGTGACTCGTTCAGATTGGAATACTGCCGTAGCGTCAAGCCACTGGCCGCGTGGTTAGACGATGCGATTACGCCACTATACGTGCCGCAGAGAGGGAACTGGCTGTGGTGACGTGTATGCAGACCTCGCCTGTATATCAATGGCCTTGTTTTGTTCAGTCGAAACACAACTATCTGTATCCCCATAATTGTTGGGTGTCTTGTTGCGGGGGTTGCCGGCGGTACATCACACCGTGCGGCTTGGTACCCCAAGGCTGGCATCGAACCCCCCAACTGCACCACTGACAAATTTCAGGGCCTCAGCCTTTGAACAAAACACTCGCGGCGGGTCTCATAGGATGGCCGGGGGTGCGGACCTGATAGCTCTCAGCGAACTTCTACAAGGAGGTGGGTCTACAGGAGTTTCAGCCCTTGATAACAGATGATCAACGTGTCATTTTGTATCAGACACCAAACATAGTGCAACGACAACCCGGAAATGACTGCAATCCTACAGCAGCACCTCGTTCACGAGCCTACGAATATTTTTCTTATCTTTGATTTGTATAATGTCGAACACGCTTTCAGCGTCAGAGTTTGCCAGAAGTGCCTCCGGCGAAGTCTCAACCACTATCACGACGTATTGCATGGGGGCCACAGGAAGTAGACCACAGCAGGAAACAGGGGATTGGTCTCACGGCGGGTTTCTCGGGAAGCCTGGTCTTTCGACAGGTACCCAGTCACGATGAAGTATATCCAGCAGCAAAGGGACACGATGGTGGATTGGTGGTTGTTCCAGTCGATCGCACGCGTTCTAGTGCTGGATGTTCCTTTCAAAACAAGCGTTGTCTGGAGCTAGCTATCCCACGCACTTTCGCTCCTGTTGGCAACCACTGAAGGCCAGGAAGATCAAGATGAGCGGGCCCACGCCGACCAAGCGAAAGGCAAAATTTTCACACCAGGGGACTTCGGGCCACCTCGAATCGCAGATAAACCAACGCAGGCAAGATTCCGTCGAGCTCCGGGTACTCAACGAATGAAGACATGGGTGTGTTGTCGAGGGCGTGGTTAAGGGCACTTTGAGGGTACGCGACCTGCCAAGAAATCGCATTCACCAATAGAAGGGCGCCAAGGTGTCAACAACAGTTGCGCCATAGTGCGTAACTTGTGCCATAACAAGGGCGTTGTTGTGCCATAGCAAGGGCGCGTATACTTCCCTCTTCTCTATCTGCAGCATATTTATCTCCTCCCTACCGGCGAGAAGGGATAAAATTGGTTAGAGACACGATGGATGACGCAAACGGCTAGCGGGTCACGACATTTTTAAAGCGACACCTCGCACACCCAAACAAGGGCCTCGTGAGCGGCTCTCGACCTCCCTCACGATCAATCTTGACTCAAGTCCGCCTAGTCTATCATGTTGCCGCGTTGCAGGCAAGCAAGCCTTCCGACCCGCAGGCAATATGGAGCGAAGAAGAGGCCCAGGAGCACGACGACGCCTTTTTCGACCCTAATGACAAGCGGCCCCAACCAGAGTGAGACCTCATATCCTGCTTATGGTTCTCCTAACAGACCAACAGAACGTCACTAAACCGAACGTGTGTAAAAGAAGACTGTCATAGACTACCGGCCTTCACAGACGCATGTACACTCGCAAAACACACACAATTCAGAATCTTTGAACACCTTCGCTTCTGTTATTCATGAGGAAGCACGCTGCCTCCTTCCACGGCACTAAAAACTGGCCCGTGTCCTTCCTCGTGCTACTACGGAGTAGAGGCTATCCACTTGCTACCCATACTCGGAGGGTGTACAACCGCCTCCTAAACTGGAACAACAACAAACAGATACCACTTGTTGATCCTTGGACAACAAACTTAGCCAGTCTAACGCAAGGGTACTTCCCCAAAAGTTCCCCGGAATAACCCGGCGACCTCGAACGGAACGTGTCGTTCGCATCAGGTACGACTTTGTGTACAAGCAGAGCGTCATGACCGAGGACACTTTTCTCGGAATGGCGGGCAAAACCCCGGGCTCCCAGGTGGGTTGGAAGTTTAGAACACGGTACCCTTTGATATTCTTTGGTGAGCACAGATGGGGTGTTACTGTGCAGCAGGTAACCTTTACCACGCGCCTCCTAGTGAGCACGCAGACCATTTGCAACGGCGAGATACCGACACCAAAGCTTTGCGCACCCCGGTTGAAAGCATGCGGATGTACGACAAGCTTGTCGATCAGTAGACCGACGATGACAAAAAGCATGAAAAGGTATAAGGGCATACCCCCCGCCGTCGCGGTGCTTCGAACTCTTGCACAGCAGAACGGTCGCCCCTACCGAACGCTTTCCGTTCCTTCACAAGTGTGGCACTGAGCAGCAGGCTCATGTTGATGGTTCTCTCTGACGTACGCGTCATGCAACACTTGAACGCGAAATCGAAACCTTGCCAGGACTGCACGCACATCGTGGTGAAAGTGATATTTCCGGGATGCCAAATGCGCGACCTGGAACTGGACGTCACCAGACGGGCTTTCCTGGCCGCCAGCCCGAAGCTGTGAGTTTGATCGTACCGGCACGTTGTTGCCCTGGAGTATCGGAATCACGAGCGGAAGTAGGTAGACGCACAGGCAAGCAATACATCACGAGCAGTTCCTCGTCCTCAGCGCAAGGCAGTGGTGCCCGCTTAGAAAATGCCACGGCTCACGATGACGTATTGACGTAGCTCTACTACACGACGTCAGTGCAGTGCATTGTCGACATGAAACTCTCTAGAAAATACAAAAGTTTCCGCTGCTTACGTTAGTGGTGCAACTTCTGCAAAAACAAATAAGCCGACCTTGACGAAGAAGAAACACAATAGAGCGACCAGAGCTACGTACCTGCGAATCCCCGCGGACCTAAGATTAACACCGCTATCAACGCTTATTTTTGCGGTTGCCCTTTCCGCAGGCGACTGGCGACCTACCTGCCTTTCCCTGTAGACGAGACCAAGGGGGTGGCAAAGTGGGATGCGGGGAACGAGACGTTGTCAGTCACCCTGCCCATCGTCGAGGCTGAGTGGTAGAGCTCCTACGTGCTTCGGAGGAACCCACAGCTCGTGCTTATCACGGCGCGGAATGGTGGTCGCTTGAGCCATGTTGCAGTGCGAGCAATGGAGCCATGTAATCGGGGTGGTTCGTATGCTGCGGCTGTGGCGATGCGCTACTATCTTTTCTGCGGGTTTAAGGAGAGAGGCGCAAGTTGCCCGAAAGGAGGCTGATGAAAGCTGGATCAGCGGAAACCTCGATTGTTGCAGATCGATTTGACAAATTGGATTGGACTTGTCTTCTTACTTTCCTTTGCTACCCTCAACACCAACCCTTGTGTACTTTGTAAAGTCTGCGTCAACTGAACCAAATAACCTCAGGCGTCGCCGTTGGACGGGGAGAAAAAAATGGGAAACGACGAAAGACATATTTGCCCACATGTCAATGAGTTGTTCATTAGAGTGATCGATCCTGAGGCACCCAGATGTTTGGCGTTGCGGACTGGGTGTGTTGGTGCTGCCGCACCAATTAACATCGATCTCACATGCAGTCCAATGGCTTGATAACGTAATGTGCGTGTATTGTCGGTGGAAGGGGAAAGCAAAGAAAGAGAGAGTGAGCCCCACACGGCTCAAACCGACGCCAACAGACGCGGTTGCACCGGTAATCTAGAATTGCGGTGCCTACGATTCCAACCAGGCTACTACTGAGGTAACGAAATTCTAGATAGACTATTGGTGCAACCGTGTCTGTTAACGTCGGTGTGAGCCGTGTGAGGCTCGCTGACATACACAGTTGGAAACCTAGGTACAGAAATTCTAGAATGTTGATTCCAAACGCGACTGTGAACGTTGATCTCATAATACACAGTCAAATGGCTTGAAATTGTATTGTTCGTGAACAATCGGTTGTCCTCGATCCGTAAGGGCAGAATTATCGGTTGTCCTCCATTTGCGAGGGCAAGGAAGAACACAAAACAGAGAGCATTAGCCTCACACGGCTCACACACGCAGCCCAGAGTCAATAGCCAATATAGAGCCAGCAAGCTCCCCATCGACACAAACCCGTCACTTTGGGGGAGAAACACACCGACAGGATGTCTGTGGTTTTGTACACCTTGGATAAATACCCTCTAAGCACGGTTTTGTTTTGTGGCGAAAGTCTTGGTGGAGTCATCCCGAAACGGCTGTTTCCCTCCTACGGCTCATGCCGCTGAATCATGCAATGCTCGACAAAAGCACCCAGTAGCGGTTCGGCATTGCAGAAATGAGTGTGAAGACAAAGACGATCTAGGGATGCAAATCCAACTTGACTACTGGGAACAACCTCTACTGAATAGACGGCGATGGGGAAATGCCGATTTGTAGTACGTTTGTCAAGAGTTCGCCTCTCGAAACTATGCTGATTCTCCGGCGTCGGGTGTAGGTTTACCGCTCCCTGCGGGAAACATCCGCCTCCCCTCGCAACGTGAGTTTTTGCTACGGCCATCGGCAGCACCAGCCGAACGTGGGCATTAAGTTGAGCTGCAGAAGTCAACACGGGAACGATACAAATCATGGAGGGTGAACCCATCTGATGATAGTGCCAGCCATGCTCCTACATATGGAGGGGGGGGTTCAACATCTTTCCAAGAAGAGCACCATGTCTGTCTTGTCTCCCTTCTCAAAAACTCGTTGCTCCGGAGTACGTACTATAGATCAGGTGTTGTTGTTGTTGTTGTCTTCACATTAAAAACCATCCCGGTCTCTCTATCCAGTACCTCCTTCTGTCTCAATCTCTCCGTACTAATCCATCACTTGACTCGGCCAATTTCCGTGGTCACAGGCTAACGTACCTAGAAAAGGTATACCAAAATAAAATGGACCCCAAGGGTCAGCAGAGCGATAAAATACAAGAAAACAAAAT